ACAATTATGTCTAGAATCCCTGATCTCTTTTCTCCTTTTCATGTGGTTATTGCAAGTGATCACGCATATATTCTTCTAGAAAAGTACTTGTGTTTTGGGAAGAAACAAGAAAAAGGCTGGAAATTGTACATGAAATTTCTAATCTTGGTCCTTGCTGTGAAGTTTTACCATGTTGGATTGGCTGGAAATGCTGACATGAGAAGTGTTGTTTCTGCACCCTGCTTTCATCTGGATCCTGCCTCATCTTTCCCCCTTTTTTCAATGCTGATGGCTTTCCAAGGACAGCATCTTGGTTCTGTCCGTGCAAGCACCTTTAGATACAGTTATATGTGAGCAGTTCCACTGAGAGCAAGATGATTGGCCTTTGCAGGACTCTAAATGGGAATGAAGTTGCAGAACAGGCTTTCAGCTATCCATAGTCTCCACAGACCAGAACTTCAATAATTCTTCTTATGAGAGGGAAACAAAAGGCCTGTTGCCCCTTTTCAGTGAGAAGCTGCATCAGCTGCTTTGTACCACCATTGATTCCTTGACTGGAGGTTCCTGTGCTGTGGCACTTTTATGTGGGTCACTACCATATACCCACTGAAGATGGTAACACCTTATCTCCCTGTCTACAAGTAATAGATTACCTCTGCTATCCTATACATGAAGTCAGCTTTTCTCTGTATTTTGAAAGGAAATACATCTCTTGGCTCAAAATCATAGGGACTGATTCTTTTCAGCTGGCCACTTCCTTGTAGTTTTTCCAGGACTCAGCTCAGGAGAGAGCTGCCAAACTCCAGCTGCATGATCTCAAGTGCCAGACTGGATCCTGAGGCCTTCCATAATAATTTGAAGTAGTGTTAGTTTAATTCTGCCATAATTAACCAGGTTCATTAATATGAAAAAGGAAGACTTATACAATTTCTTTCTGCTTTTAATGGAGTCACCTGGGCAAATGAAAGAAGGTGAAAGGTACATGTATGATTCAAAGTGACTGCTGAAGTGTATAAATAGCAGTTCTGTCATGTTTGCTGTGTGTGCTTCTTGCAGAGGAGCACCGTAACTGTGCCTGGGGACAGGATTCATGGCAGTGACCAGGAATGTGAAGCATGCCTTTCCATCTTCCTGATATCTGAAGTGGTTTCCATGACTGTAGTCAAAATAGGAAGCAGTGTCCTGGTGAGGCTGGCACACCAGACAGTTTCTATGGTGTTGGCTAAAAAAAGCAGGATACCTAGTTTTGTGTGTCTGTGCTGTTTCTGAGCAGCAGTAACAGGGAATTGATGTGGCTGACAGGCAGGTGACTGGGTTGTGCTGGCTCTGTGCTCCAGCCGAGCCTGGGAGCTGAGGGTGCACAACAGCAGTGTGTATCCCATCAGAATAGAGGGGTTTGTGGCCCCAGTTTTCCGTGGGGACCCTGACGGGTGAGCTGTCCCTGGCTCATGTCAAGGGCTGATAACAGAGGTGGCGTTTGTGGAATGGCGGCAAAGGGGCCGTGAGATGCGGGGCGCCAGCACCCAACTCAGGGGCTGAACCGCGCTGTGTGTCAGTGCAGGCAGGCGGAAGCATGAGGAGATCTCTGGAGTGGGGTCTGGCAGCGCTCGGCCCGAGCGGAGTCAGGGCTGCGCTGGGGCAGTACAGGTGGGATGGCCCGGCCAGGTGGGGCTGGGAGGGGGCGGCGGCCGCTCCTGCTTTCGCTCCCGCCTTCCCCTGAGGGGCGGCTGCTGCGGCCGGCGCGCGAGGAGGCGGTGGGAGCCAATGGGGGGCGGCTGAGGCGGGGAGCGCGGGCCAATAGGAGGCCGCTGCGGCGGAGCGCGCGGGGCCCGAGCGGGGGGAGGCCAATGGGGAGCGGCGCGCGGCGCGCGCGCAGCCGAGGGCGGGGAGGGGCGGGGCGCGCGCGCGGGGCCGCCCCTTCCCCGCCGC